AACCATGCTGGGCGTGAATCCGAAATCCGTCTCAAGCCACGCGGGCAGATAGGACACGAAGCTGGCGATGCTGAAGCACACGGCGACGAAGGCGAGGCTGGCGATGGCCGCGTCGGACCGCTTGAGCAGGGCGCCGTACCCGCGAATGGCTGAGCCGAGGGAGAGTCTCTCACCGGCGGGATCGATGAAGGGAACCCAAAGCACGACGCTCAGGACCGCCAGCGCGCTCACCCCGGCCAACACCATGAAGGGCATGCGGAAGCCGAACGCGCCGGCAAGCAACGTGCCCGCTGGGATGCCGACGATCTGACCCACAGCGAGTCCGGTCATCATCCAACCGTTGGCCCAACCCCTCTTCTTGCTTGGGAAGAAGTCCCCAACTAGGGCCACGGCTGCGCCGCTCAGCACGCCGCCGCCGACACCTGCCATCGCCCGGAACGACATGAGGCTCCAGTAGTCCCAGGCAATGCCGTGCAGGAGGAGCGCACCGGTCATGATGCCGCTTCCCCAGATCAGGACGCGTCGCCGGCCTACGCGATCGGAGATCGGGCCGGCGACGAGCGCGAAGATACCGACCACGGCGGGATAAACGGTCAATAAATCTGCCAGGCGTGCCGTCCTGATGGAAAGCTCTTCGCCGATACCGTTCAGGATCGGGGCGACCACCATGATCTGGGTCGAAACGGCGAAGATCACCAGCCAGAGCGCGAATAGGAGACGAGTTTCGGCGGATCCGCTCGAGGGTTTCATGGGGTGCGCCTGCTCATCAGAGCATCTTAGCGTAAAGACAGATTGCCGGAGACGCTCCCGGTGTTGGTCGACTTGATAGTGATTTTGTCTTGCATATCAAATGATTTTGATTACAATATCGTGCATCTGAACCCCACTCCTTCCCCACCCCAGGAGATGTGCAATGACCCTAAGCCGTTCTTCTCTGCCCCAATCATTCGTCGGCCTACTTGTTCTCGGCATGCTCGCCGCGGGACCGGCCACCGCCCAATTACCCCTGAGCCC